CACTTACACACGCAAACGCCCGCACGCACTCCTACATCATCAGCGGGTCAGGTTGACACAGTTACTCGGGCGAGTGTATCAGAGTTAAGATAACGAAAGGCGAGTTGTCGACGCAATAACCACTTGACGCTTCCCTTCCATTCGCGCAGGAAGGAAGTTGATAGAGAGAGAGAGAGAGGGAGAGAGAGAAGGACAGAGAAAGAGAAACGACGCTCTGCATATCAATTCGTATGCGTTTCGTCTCGCGCACGTGTAAATGCACGTTGACCTGTTAACGCGAAACACGCGCCTCAGTCATCTTTCGCTTTCACATCGACAGATGCACGGCTGAAACCCGTCAGGAAGCAATCGGCCCGTCAAAATACGGAATGTGTGTTATTCGTGGCGCAAAAAATTTCGCGCGAAATCGATTCGAAGCGTGAAAAAGTCACGGTCTGAGATAAGCGACAGGTTGTAGCACATTAAATTTATGCACTGAGAAAGAGATCCATCAGAACAACTCGAATCGAATTAAATAAATTCAACTTCAGGGTCGTATATGACGAACCAGCTGCCCTGATTCTTTCGGCAAGATTTTCATGTTTTCTTAAACACTTATTTATGTGAAGCCAATTACGTTTCGATTTCGTCGTTAATTAGTTTAGTTGATTAAATTTTATAATTCAAATTTCTACACTTAAAGAAAAAATATCTAAGAAACAAAAAAATATTTATTTTGTGTGTACTGATAAAACGTATTTACTTATAGTACACTGTAAAAACTGATTAAATTTAACACATTTTATGTGTCCCAAATCATCCACTCTCATTTATGTGTAAATTTAACACAAAACAAATGTATTAAAAAGTAACATGCATAATATGGAAAAAATTAACACAAGAATTTAACACTTGAATACCGTTAGGAATCACATGTTGTGTTAAATTGACATATTTAATATATCACAGACATAGATTAAGTCAATTTAACATTTTCATTTCATCAAAACCGTAGATTAATACTTCTCTCAAATGTTAAATTAACGTTTTATTTTAGTTAATTTAACATTATACATATGTCAATTTAAACTGTGATTCCTGACGGTATTCAAGTGTTAAATTCTTGTGTTAATTTTTTACCGTGTTTATTATTATACGTGTTACTTTTTACCACATTTGTTTTATATTAAATTTACACATAAATGAGAGTGGATGATTTGGGACACATGAAATGTTAAATTTAACACATTAGTTTTTACAATGTAATACATATATTTTTTCGCAGAAAAGAAATATTTTTTAAATAAAAAAACAATATATTTTCTTAAAACCTCAGCTTTTCTACCACGAAGACGATTATTTATTATATTAAAAAAGAAATCCAGATTTAATTGGAAATATATTATTGATACTCACGGGAAAATTTGTTTAAAATTTTTTTCAGATATTTTTCCTCTCAACGTATGCGTCAGATCTGATTTATCGATCTGACTCGATTTTTACTCAATTCCACTTACAGTTTGTACAACAACATTTTTGTCACCCCAAAATGTAGTTTCTTTTACTCGGTCTTTTTTTCCAGTTACACGAATGAATTCGCGCTTTATGCATTATTTTAACCTGATGTACACGCGAGAAAATATTACTTTAATTTGCGCGCGAATTCGTACATCTTCACGATCTGACAGAACGTGTGAGAGGTTCAGCATCCGGGATCTTTGAGCGAACGTTATATGTTAATCATTACGTGTAACAACCACAACAAAGGCGGAGATAAAGAAATTACGTGCTTGAGCATCGCATTCATCGTACTTGGAATTTGTCACGGTCACGAGCACGCACAATGACGTGGAATGCGACGCGTAAACTTAATTATTCGGCAGTTTAAACCTAATTTGCGCGCGCATCCGTAATATCGTGCAACGTTATATTCGTTTAACGTGCGACCGCAGAGCAACGTTAACATTGTTACTATCGGTTGTCGGGATATTTCACCGCGAAAATGATCGATTAACGCTAAATATCGCGCGTCCGTGATATTTCACTTTTTTTTCAAACGCGTTTTCACTCATGTTTTTCAAGTGCGGCATGTGACCTCAGCAGCATCGGTATTTTTAACATTACATATTCGCACGTTTCGCCACCCACCGTCGTTACTGCCGCGTCTCGTGCTCGCCGGATTTCCCGATTATCGTCCCGAGCGATGCATCGTGGGCGAGACCGCCCGGTACTACGATATGATGACGCAAAGGCGAAAGTAAAATAGAGCTGGACGAGAAATCCGCGATTTACTTCTCGTTTATGCAATCCCCGAGGCAATCGAGCCCGTCAGCGCGCGGCAAAAGTGATTAAAGCCATTATCTCCCTTCCTCTGCCTCCCTGGAAATTTTATCCCAGTTCCTCTGCGCCCTTTAACGCGCCCGTCATGCGCCGCCTCTGTGCACGGTTACTATACTGCCATTATTATTATCGAGGTGTCGTCTGCAGCTCCGCTTCGTCGCGCCGATACTCTTCAGCATCAGTTATTGATTACTCATTATCACGGTGGATTATATACAGGAACGTCGCTTTACGTGTCGCAAACCGTACTTGCCAAAGCGAAACAAAGCGCGTTTGCTGCTGGTGTTCCGACGTAGTCCTCCTCCGCGAGAAACACATTCCTCCGGATCGCTTTTTTAACGCAATTTTACTCTCTCGTCGTGTTGTTTCAAATGTTTTATTTACGGTCACCGCTCGACGGTTGTTATCAGCCGCGTTTGTCACGTTGCTTTATCGTGGAAAAGTCGTATCGCGCATGATCGCGAGCGCAATGTCAAGGGCGGGGCCCTTCGAGGCATCTCACCGCGCCTGCTTTCCGCTCGCGCCTGCTCGACACATTGACTCTGGGCGCGTGTGCGTGAGAGCGTGTGTGGGCCCGGGAACGGTAATTGTGGTTAATTTAACGACGGTCAAAGCAGTCACTGCCTGTCCTTACAGGCCAGTTTACGCGGCCGACTCCCGAGCGCCGGCCGCAGCGTTCGCGCGCGCGCCTCGAAAATCTGCTCTCGTCTCTCTCGTCGAGGAATCGTCACCGATCGCGAATTCAGTGCCGCCCGTTATAATTGAAGGGGTCCTCATAATGTCGGATCAGGGCTGCGAACTCTGGAAAAAAATGCGTTCGACAAAATCGAATCTGAGTGACTGATTACTGATTGATTGATTAGTTCTTTCGATTGGTTGCGACAGCTGTTCTCGGAAACGAGATTGAAACAGACGCATCTGGGAGATGAAGTGTGGGCTAACGTGAAGAAAGTGTATGTGTGTGTGTTCCTCGAAATTGATGAATAATTGAAGGGAACGGGAGGAAAGTCTGTAGACGAATAAGCTCAGTAATTTTAGTTTCTCGTATACTGGGAGAAAAAATATCTGAGGAATAAGATATATTTATTCTAATATGTGGGTACTAATAACGCGCGAGCGCGTATCTACTTCAAATCTAAATTCTTTCTTTTGTCCGAACCATTTGCCTCCGTGAAAACCGACGGAGTTTTGGGAAAATATATATTTCCTTGTTTTTGTAAAAGAAACTTTTTCCCAAAGTAAAGATATGTATATTAGTACGAATAAAAATGTTAAAAATAAGAGATATATATCCGTCGAATATACATCTCTTATTTTTAACATTTTTCTTTCTCTCAGTGCTCGCATTGTTCTATTAGGCGGGGTTAATAGGGAACACTCGGTAAAAAAAAAGATTTGTTAATATTATATATTAGTAATAATACATATAGATATATATATATATATATATATATATAATATATATATATATATATATATATATATATATATATATATATATATATATAATATATATATATATATATATATATATATATATATATATATATATATATATAATATATATATATATATATATATATATATATATATATATATATATATATATAATATATATATATATATATATATATATATATATATATATATATATATATATAATATATATATATATATATATATATATATATATA